AGTGCCTCCTTGGCATACCTTAGTTTCTTATGAAATTGTCACTACAAGCAAAGTAGCTCAAAACTGATTTAGGCTTACAAATTCTTATTAAGGTTTGTGATTATTGTTGTTTAAACAGTCACAAGGTTATACCTACTGTAGTTATACATACTACAATTATGGAACACGCAGGACCACCTACTACAGGTAGACAACRGCCARATGGATTGATTTCATCCTTGAGATTGTAAAATGACAGGCATCATATGTTATGATTTATAGATGTTCCAGTAGCGAATACTGCTGTGGGACTGGCAAATGTTGCACCATGGTTTATGCAAGATGGTACCTTTGGTAAGTTATTATAGCATGCTGCATTCCATATGGACATTGCAACATTTAGGAAGGTAGGAAAAACATAAAGGTCTAATTTCTAATATTGTTGATGTAAAGGTTTGTATTGGTTACTATCTTCATCGCTTTCTTCCTAATATGGTGGTACTACCGATATCGTTATCGTCCACGTCAAACTATTGTTACAACATCAGCAGGCCGTGTTCCAGTTGTCCAGGCAACTAGTACTGTAACATACCCCAACACAACTGCCACATATCCCACCAATGGATACCCAGTCGCTTATCAGGGGCAGCCAGTCTATATGTACCCAAGTGGTGCAGTACAGTATCAAGCATATGGACCACCTAAAGTTCCTCCTCAAGCATTTGCACCTCCACCATCTTATGAAAGTGCAACTTCACAGCCAGGGGGGGTTAATCCACCACCTCCGCCAAGATAACTCACTGAACAATACCCATAATATAATGGTGATCTCTACATTAGAGTATAACCACATTTTGCAAATAGTTTATCTAAATCAAGCTTGCTTCAAGTCCAAATTGCACAGGATGSAGTCTGCATAGTTTAAGGATGTGGCCCGCTAAGTGCTTGACAAGCTATAGAAGCCTCACAGCACTATATATTTGACAGTTTTTACTGTGATTTGATTGAAACTTTTACTTATTGATTACTTATTCATAGAAATTGATATAATGAATAGCATGGAATTATACATTATTAAACATGAGAATTAYTAAATCAATTATTAATCTTCCTGTGTGGTAGGAAAGAATATGGAAATACAAAGCTGAGTCACGTTATTACTTTTCACCTATTTTTGACAGATATGTGTAAAATAAATTTACTCTCATCTAATCTATAAACCCTGAAATGTGGGCTTTTTTATGAATTCTGGGGGATACAAACCTTCTTTAAATGATCAACCCGTTTGTAATAAAGAGATTTTCCGATCTTAAATGGTCAATTCGTTCGTAATATTTTCGAGGACGTCTCCTTATAGTTTTAAGTCCTTGACTGGGAGAAGACAAAGATGCTACCTGAATTACATTGTCCGCAGTGGAGTTATATTGCATTAAAAGACCGAACCAAGAACGAATGATTGCCAATCAGAGTATTAGATGAAAAATTAAAACCAGTCAAAGTAAAAAAAAATGCATTAGCATACAAATGCTATTATCGTCGTAATGTTCAGAATACATCATAAAACGCTTTGCATTCAAACTATCAACCAGTGAGGAATGTCCTGATCGCTCATGAACCAATCACCTACAAGTATAGCATCTAAAATATCTGCCATAAATATACATATTTATTGCTATATTGTATCAAAAACAGAAAGACTTGTGAGACTATAAGCTTAAGGGCGAATAAAATGTGTYAAAGAATCTGCAGTGACTACCAGTAGCCCCATTATATCAGGATATACATAACTTAGATTATCTTGGTATTTCATTCAATATCCTTGCTGACAAGTATACCCAGGTGCTGCTGGTCGGACCAGAATGATCTRATGCACAGAAGGTTAAAGAACAGCTCTAATCAGTTGGTCTACTAGATGGTTAGTATACTGTAATATCATGATAAACATCCATAGGTGGTCAGGAGTTTCTATCATACAACAAAAAAAACGACCACACCTTGAATTTCTTTTCTATCTAGTTACATGGGATTCTCCTTGCGAACATACTATTAAGAAAAAACTAGCGAATGATTTTATACCATCAAACTCAGAAACAAATGGAAATACTTCATAAACTGATGACACAGTGGATGCCGGTGGAGAGTTTGAGCGTCGTCCTGTTTTGACCTTTTTTATTTATCAATGCAAAGATAGTTTTATTGGATTGTATCGCTTTTASGAATTAAGATCTTAAAGGCTACAAAGAGAAATCTGGTTTGYGATTATGTCATTCAGGGTGTTTTTTAAAGCTTGCGTTCACTTATTTTATTGACCAAAGCTGAGAACCAAGGTAAACAATGCGACCACACTCACAAGGACCTGAACTGAAAAGCAATTAATATGTTGAGGAATTCTGCGCCAATTAATTCGTAAGTCGGCCAGTTTTTATTCGAATTGAGAAATAGATGAACTCAATAATGGCAGGTTCACTAACCGCTAGTAATCACTGAGAATATCTTAATTAATATGTATATATCAAGAGCTGATATATCAAGGACTTGTAATATATCGATAAACACCTATTGAGAAATCGATTTTCTTTCTTGTCATGGGCTGTGGCTTATCACAAAGTGGTGATGAAGCTTATCATTTGTTGACTCATGACTCGTTTTTTGCTTTATATAAATCCAGATTTGAATAAATCACATCAATGATCGCAGAGGCTTATATTGGAGCGTCTAATTAGCCAACCAGTTCTCGTCCAAGCCTTGATGCTCAAGGAATAAGGTGAGTTCAAAAGTAAACATGGCTAACCTTCTAGTGAAAACTACCATTTCCAAGGATTGAAAAACACGACATGACATGTCCGTAACGTGTTGCATGCTGCACCTGCTCTAGCTGATGGTATAATCTCATTTCATATCATGTTTCGTGGTTTAGCCAACTCTAGTACGAAATCAATCCCAATAGAGTGATAGAGTGCCTGTTTGGTAGGATGATCGATTATTGATTGAGGTCGCTTGTCCATTTTAAATGATGTATGCTGTGAAATCATCAACCATGATACCCCCTGTAGGYTGTTGGTACTGATAGAAGCGAACGCATAGTTAAGTTTGTATTCATTCTTAAGTTATGTTAAGAATTCACACTCAAAGCGATCGAAATGATTGTGAGCGTACCGCATGACTAAGTTTGTCATTTTTCTAAAGTATCATCCACTGCACTGCCATTGATCCCGTGTTTGTTATTCACTGATTCCTATCTTTTGGATTTTGTTTGATGATAGTTATAACGTGCGATATGTCAATAGCATTGACCATTCAATAAGTCAAGAGTAGCTGTGTGGTCAAACCGATGGCTATTTTAACAATGATTTCATCCAAATTAATCAACAAACCTCTCTGGTCTGGTGAGCTTATGGAGACTAAGAAGTACTATCTTTCTATTTAGGATTGATCTCGTTACCCATCTTGGTGTTCTTGCCATCCGTCTGTGATTTTATCCTGAAAAACCCTTGAAGTTGAAAGATGGAATTGTCTASAAGCATCAAGCAATTTATAATCAGCCTTTTCCTTTCAAGCTGTTGGCACGTGTTGATTGACTCTAAAGATGTCATAGTTGAGACTAATTTTGGCAAAATACGAGGATTAACGCGATCTTTCCTTGGTGAAGAAGGTAGGAAACAAGATGTACACATGTTTCTTGGTGTTCCATACGCTCGACCGCCTGTCAAACAACACCGATTCAAACCTCCACAACCAACTAATGCATGGCATCCTCAAGTACTCGATGCAAGACGATTTGGAAATGTCTGCCCACAGACTAGAGAATTCATCAATTACCTAAATAAATCCATCAAGCGAATTTGGCCGGATTTCAGTTCTTATGATGATGTTAGCGAGGACTGTTTGTACTTGAACATCTTTGTTCCTGGAAGGAGTGAGGAGGAAGGAACGAGTGAGCAGCCATTTCCTGTATTGTTCTATATCCATGGTGGTACTTACTTACTTGGTACACCAGCCCGTGACAAGACTCCTGGTCATGTTCTTCCTGGACTTCACGGGATTATCTTAGTGACTATCCAGTATCGATTAGGTCCATTTGGCTTCTTTACCACAGGTGATTCAGCTCTTCCTGGCAACAGCGGGATGTTGGATCAAGTGGCAGCATTAACCTGGGTCAATGAGAATATTGGTGTCTTTGGTGGTGATCGTAATCGTATCACTATCGCTGGTAACAGCGCAGGGGGGTCGAGTGTTGGTCTTCATCTTCTTTCACCCCTCACCAATGGTCTTTTTCAACGAGCCATCATGGAAAGCGGAGTGGAGTTCTCACCATTTGCCATTCTGCCACTTGAAAAAGCGGTTAAAAAAACCAAAGAGGTTGCTAAGAAACTACTTTGTGATACCAGTAATAGTAAGAAAATGGTTCAGTGTCTGCAAACTAAAGACGTGACGGATATCTTGTACTACTATGAACCGTTCCCGGGTCCTGTAGTAGACAAATATTATTTACCTGACACACCCGAAAATCTCAGGAAAAAGGCAAAGGCCAAGAATGTGTCGGTAATTATGGGTTTTACAAAGCATGATGGCTTTCATATGATCACCATGTTAAAACTCCCAAAGTCTTTAAATGACAAGTATTTTCGTAAGGGAATCGAAAGAACTATTCAAATACACATAGATATTGACAATAGTCTCTATGCAATGAGGCTGGCCGATGCTCTAGAGTTTCAGTACTATCCTTGGCATAAAATGGGTGACCCCAAAGCTTTAAAAGCTGCCTTGGTAAAACTTTCAACGGATTATTTCATCATTGGACCGACTTTTAAGGCAGCGAACTTTCAGTCAGAAAGCGCAGCAACATACATATTTCGCTACAGTCACGTTTCCAAGCAGGACAATCCCACTCAAACATGGGTTCGTCATAGCAGTAATGTTGATTATGGCTTTGGAGCACCATTGGCAAATTTAACATCACAATCGTTCAACGATGAGGATCGCAATGTCAGTCACTTTATTATGAAATCTTACAGCAACTTTGTGAAATATGGTAATCCTACGCCTGACCCAATAGATGGTGTTAAGTGGACAAAATACAGCAGAGAAAACGGTGCCTTCTTGGATCTGAAAGCCAAACCTGAAATGGCTTACAAATTTCATCCCAGTAGAATTGCATTTTGGAATTTCTACTTCCCTAAATTACTTCAAGACCGCTGCACTATTCCACCTCGGAGCAACGCAACAACTCAACCTGGACAGGGAAGCACTTGTTGTTGTTCGCATGTTGCCTTTGCTTTTTCCCTWGTTAGTTACCTCTTGGCATTAATTATACAGTAATTTTAGAGAATATAATATTGATAAAGAAAAACAATGGCAACCATTGGTACCACTACTACAGCAACAAACATTCCCTTCTTCCTGGTACTAGTGATACCTGCTGTATACAGTAACTATAGCAACAATCATTCTCTACTTCCTGGTATCAACTACTTCCTGGTATTACAGTACTTCTAAKGTAACTATAGCAGCAACCTACTTCCTGGCATATTAGTGGTTCGGTTGCTATACCAACACTATAGCAGCAATCATTGCATACTTCCTCAATATTAATGGACCATGGCAACCTCATGGCATTAGTGCTTTGGTAACTAAAGTAACAACCATTGATATTTTGGCACATTAACAACAACACTTTCGACATGTCAGAGGAAATACACTGTACTAGAAATGCATATAATAGACCTTCTCATATGAAGTTTTAGTAGTAAATTGGTGATGGGGATAAAGGTGTTAGAATAATTCCTTGGGTAGTTCAGAGTCAAGTAAACCCGGGCGCCTTTTTCATAAATATTTAGTATCGGCGAAGTAGTTATATTTCCACACTCGAACTCTTGTACACCGACACATTCTTGCATTCAATAATTTCTAGCGATGAATCAAAAACGTATTTCATTGATCTTAGTTGTTGAGTGCTTACAGGAAACTTAACGACGTTCTCTTTTGTGTGTTCGCTGTCAAATGAGGAGGACCGCTAGACACATCCATCACAGGCTCCGCTATGGCCACTCAACACAYTTCCAAAGGTCATCAAGAAACAGATGTCTAACTAGTCAACAACTGTAGAATTTTAATTAATTTGTAATTGGAATGCTCGTATATGTAAACAATCATGATATGGAAAATCTAGAGTGGGATTTCTACTTAAATTTTTGTTGGTTTTGGAGCATTGATAAATCGCGTGCTATTCGAGAAAATTGTTGTCATATTACGTGCTGAGGTTGTATTTGCATTGTTGTTGATGTAGTTGTTTATTTGGATGTAAGTATTGTTTGTAAATGTTTACTGCTATGGTACATCTGTACATCTTACCAGCATGATAACATGCACGAACAGCCTGCGCGCCTTGCTCGTGAACATGACTTTGCAGCTAGTTTGGCTTATCTTTATTAAAATTGTCACTAAAACACGGCAATTGATGAAAATTGATAGAAAATAATTAGCATGTATTGTAGTAAAGCGATGTTTTTCAAAAAGGGAACTATTACGTAATAACGAGAAAGAGCAAATTGAAAATATTTACTTTAAAACATTAATAAAAATTCGAAACTGMAGAAGAAATTAAAAGATCAGGTTAGGCTACTCAAACCAAATGAAAAAAAAAAGTAAAATGAAAAAAAGCCTATTAACCACAAAAGCCACATCTCACGTAGCGACGAGGATTTTCGATTATGCACCATAAAACCATGTATGTTTGATCGTCTAATTTCTTTTTTATTGGGAATGTCACAATGTTTACGATCCAAAGATGCGCGTTAATTTGTTTTTGAAGACTGATTGTGGAAATACAGCTAGTGACATTTTCCAATTTGGMGTATTATAWTCGTAAAAAATCGGAATGAATAATTCATTAACCGTGTGAAAAATTGATTTTCGTTGAGTGAAAGATTATAGTTTTCCGTCGAAGGAAATGAGGTTGATGGCCTCACAAGGCAATTAAACACACAGTGGATAACCTTCCAGAAAGTGACTGTCAATCAACTTTTGTCGACGTCACTCACTCCTTATATGGAAACCACTGCCATTTTCTATTAGCTGCGCCATGATGCTGCTTTCACGTTAATCTACGAGAAACCAGTTTTGAATTATGAGTTTATTTGTTAGTTGATGTGAATACCAGAGCCGCTATCTTCGTCGGTAATTGATTGCATCCGTCAGCTGTCTCGTCAAGACCTTCCAACAGTACCCCTAGACAATCAGGCAACCATACCGACTTGTCTTTAAGCACCGCGATTAACCTTTTTGCTGAACTGCTAGACCTTCCTTCCTTTTTGATATTTCAATTTGCCAAGGCTTCAGTTGATAATGAGACGACGAACTCTCTGGATGAAACTTTTCGTGCTCGACACTTGATTTGTAATGATAAAGAGAATTCAGATGTTTATCGAATCACATTGTTGTTTAGATACAAATGTGGCAATAATAAAACGGATTTGTTTTACTGATAAGTCATGCAATAAACAAAGAAATTRTCGATGTGAATTAGGTCCTGTCGAGCATTTCTTACACTGTGTCCTGAGAATTTGTAAAACAAAATACGGAAATATTTAAACCTTGAAAATTGCAATGAGAAACAAACTTGCCTAAGTACTTCCTTATGATCAACTAATGGAAGAGCAAATCTGGTTTTGTTTTTCTATGATAACTCTTTGTCGCTCATAACGTGCAAAATCAAACTTGTCAGGGTTTAGAACTAAATCCAACGAGTTGTCTACATTTGTAAGATTATTTTCACCAATTTTCAAATAAATGATGAAAATATGACAATTGAAGAAAACTTAAAGAGGCTATTTAAGCGGAAGTTTTGATAAAAATGTTYGCATAAAAATAACAATCTTGCAGTACCGGCTGTTCATGATTGGATTGTTGTTGTTGTTATGGTTTTGTTGTTCATTTGGAAGAAAAGCTCTTGTGGCTGTGAGGACACTCCCTTGAATTCATTTCCTATCCAATCATTTGCGTCTATCCCCTTCTGTGCATCATACCGAGCATAATAGGGACGATTTCCTGCCTTGGGTTTATCTAATATCTATTACCTAAGCACAAGTAAGGACATCTTAACACGTCACCGTAAGTTTCCTTTCGTGTTTCGTACGCCGGGTTAAGTTAAACAGCGTGTTATCAGCGAACATAAGCTGGCAGAGCTCAGCTCATTCGCACATTTGATCCACATCTAGAATACAAACATATCGTGTCTTGAGGTCAATTTGTTGTCGATGTCTTGGTTTACAGTTCTAGCGTTGGCTTGCGTACTCATTGCGCCTGCATGGACAAGCGTAGTGGTTTTAACAAAACATGGCTTCATCAAGGGGATTCAAGAAACTATCTCGTACGAGGGCCAGAAGCAAGCTATCTACAAGTTCCTGGGCGTTCCATACGCTGAAAAACCAATAGGAACCCTTCGCTTCAAACGCCCACAGCCCCTCAAGAAATGGTCGCATAATGTTTATAATGCCACGTATTTCCGTCCAGTATGTATACAAAACTTGAGGCATTACAAGAAYTCCATCAAGTTAGCATGGCCTGATTTCAACAAGGAGAAAGGAGTCGATGAGGATTGTCTTTATCTCAATATTTACACACCAACAACAATCCTTGGTAAAAGATATCCTGTAATGGTGTACATCCATGGAGGAAGCTTCGTGGCAGGCACTCCAGTTCGTGATGTATCTCCCGGCGAGTTCATACCTATGGGAGGAGTCATTTTGGTAACCGTACAGTATCGCCTTGGAGTCCTTGGGTTTTTTAGTACAGGAACACCAGAAGCACCAGGAAATGTTGGACTACTAGACCAGGTACAAGCACTTGAGTGGGTTCAACAAAACATTGCAAGTTTTGGAGGGGATCGCAACAAGGTAACTGTATTAGGAGAAAGTGCAGGTGGAGCGAGTGTGACATTCCTCTATTTGACACCCCTCTCAAAAGGGCTATTCCACCGTGCAATTGCTATCAGCGGAGTAGATTTTTGTCCCTTTGCTATTAAATCGAAGAAAGAGGTCTTGAATTTGAGTGCAAATGTGGCTAAAAGCTTGGCATGTTCTTCTGGATCGTCATCTGCGATGCTAAGGTGTTTGCGTTCTGTACCATTCTCAGTCTTGATGTCCGAGGATGTTCAGGGTTTAACGCCGTTTGTCGACTCATACTTTCTACCGGACGATCCAAAGAAAATGCGCAAAGAAGGACGATTTCACAAACTTCCATTGATGACAGGCTTTGTTAGCCATGAAGGATCGTTTATCTTGAATGGCAGACAACCAGAATATTCCAGAGAAGGATTTATCAAGTACGTTAAAGGTTTCATACAGCGTAACTATCCAAATATCCAGACGTTTGCATCGGACGCTGTGCAATTTCAGTATACTCCATGGATTGATGTCAATGATGCTAAAAAGATTCGTAAAAAGCTGGTAGAAATGCTGACTGATTTCTTCATTATCGCACCGACCCATGATATGCTAACGTTGCACAGCAAAAGTGATTCTCTTTCCTACTTGTTTGAATTCAATCATAGATCGAAACTCAAGAACACTACAATCCACCCAGAATGGATGGGCGTAGTACACGGCGATACAACACCATACAAGTTTGGTGCACCACTTCTCAACACTAATACACTGGAACAATTTGATAGTGATGATAAAAAAATCAGTGATATGCTTGTCCAGCTCTATCTGAACTTTGCAAAGTTCGGGGATCCCACCCCTACACCTGTGTATGGCGTTACATGGAATGCGTACAATTCGTCTAACAAAGCTTATCTAAAAATCAACAAGAAACCGAGGATGGCAATCAACTACCATCCTGCAAGAATGGCTTTCTGGAATGAGTATTTCCCGAAATTCATCCCATCAAATCCTTCTCGACCCAGCCCTGRCATTCTCGGGTCCCGAAGCAGTGCTAAGCGACTTAAATCAAGTGCCCTGTCATATATCATGTTGCTAAGTTACACTTTGCTTTGGAACCTGAAATAAATAACGATCCGTATCCGTAACATTGACACTGATCTCTCATGGATTCTTCTTGACCAGACTACCCGAGTACCCGACCACCCGAGTACCCGACCACCCGAGTACTACGAAACAAGCACAAAACCATGAACAATGGTTGTTGATCTTTTCTGGACATTTTTACAGAACTTCACCTCTTGATGATATCTTGATGATATCTTGATTGACTCGTTTGTACATAGGTACGTTTGCTGTACAATTTACAATATTTGATATTCCAAACAATAATAATCAGTCGCATCTGTAGCGTTAATCAATATTGTTTTCTTTAGGAAAAAAATAAGCGTTTTTTATTTGTTTTTATATCATTTGCAAAATTCGGTAGATGGGAAAAGGATTAACACCATCAATTTAGGGAAGGACGTGTCGATAGGTTGCAAGTGGATTTCCCAATGAAMGAAATTCATGTGATTTTTGTAATCAATCTATGAATGCAGTCGCTATAATTCCAGTGATATTTATTATCAATTTATATCGTTGTAAACTATGAACTTAACATACATAATAAATATTTACTCGTCGCTAGATAGATTATTGGTGTTATTCGGTATTTCACATTCTTCAGTGCCATAATTAATAAAATAGGTTTACATTTTTGCGGACAATCACGGTACGTCACTTAAAGACGTCATACTATTCACGTATGTATTATGTCAATAGAAATATCGAAAAAAAATAATATGATAAAAGTGCAGCCTAGAAAATACTGCGACAMATGCATAACTAGTTCTTCTATTGAAAACAACTTAACCTGATCAGTAAATAACAGGACGATTTTATTTTCCTTAACCAAGATAAAAACACAGACATCTTGTCTCCGTGGGATTATCGTTCTTTATCCTAACCCTTGACAAATTGCACTGACAAATTGCTTTATTGGCGTTCACCGCCAATTTACTTTGTTTACACATAGACGAAACATTTTATTAAAAAAACCTGTTTTGCTTTAACCATCAAACCGAGTCACGAACACTGTGCCAGAAGTGTCATCTAAATGGACAATATGTAAAGTAAGAGTCAAGATCTTGTCATATATGGAAAACCTTGAAACAAAAAACAAACGTCCTTGTACACTAACCCAATCTCGCCGCACTGAACTCATTTTCGATAGTCCACAKAGAAAGTAACTCGAAATTAATATTTTTACATAGTATTTTAGAAGCAAACAATTCACCGTCAAAAATCCTAATTCATCAACCATTCCAATAGTCGATTTGCATGAACAAATACAGGGTTCTTGGATAAAAAACATGCAGTTGAAAATTACAATTTCTTTTTTTGTATCAAAATGAAAAATAAAAAAGAAGTATTTCTTAATTGAAATGCCCTATTCTGCATATATATATATACTGCTCTGAACTAAACGATCGGGTTCAAAATAATAAAACACAAAGGTTGCCCTGATTCATGTTCAAGTGCTTCGAAACAGGCTCATTGAAGCTGCGAACGAAAGAGTTTATGKGATACAACTACATCAATCTGCCGTGTTATCCTGCTAAAATACTGACTGTTGTGACATGGTTTAGTTCTTTCAACCATAAATGCAGGTTCAGTATTCTTAAAAATTCTAATAAATCGCTTTATTTTCGCTAAACGAATCACCAAGACGAAATTTTTTGTATCAAAAACAAAAGCCAATCATTTGACAGCTGCAGTCAATATTTTATTCAAAATGAATAACAATTTTTGCATTCAAAGTTTTTCTCGGTTTCTACTTGCTCGAATGAAAAACGGTAGTTAAATTCGTGATTTACAATTAAAACGAGAGAAAAAAGGTGCGGAAATTAAGACCAAAAATAGACGCCCTCTGCTGTTTAATTCATCTCATTTCTTACAAGTTTATCTTMGATTTTATTATTCTCAAAAATCCATTTTATCTTCGTATTTTTGTTAGCATGGGCAGTAGTATTTTTGCTGYCTGCCTTCGTACCAATCAGTACTCTAACGACGCACGATGGTTTCCAATTTACACGGCACTTGAAAGAGTGCTTTTCCAAGAAATAATCACTATTAATCCAACGAACACGCGGAAAAAATGTCCTTTTTTGGAAAGAAAGACTAAAAAAGACGTATTTACTCTTTCYCTGACATTGTTGCTTAAAAGCTTTCCAGTAATTTGAAATGATAAAACAAAGAGGGTTCCTTATCGTTGAAATGTCGTTTAACTTTGATATTTGCTCCAAATTCCTTCAGCYTCTCAACAAATATCTTCTCCTCCTTACCAATCCAAGGTCTTGTTAGATCGTCTACTTGGTAMGGAGTGACGTGTACCCTTATATTAGGAACACGCTTAGCTAATGGGTACAGATATTTCTCGTCAGTTACCCATGTATTATATTCACCACTATGGCCGCCATCAAGCCAGTACATTGTATTGAATCTCGATATAAAGTCTTTGAGTTGGTAATCAATACCATTACCTACTTCAAGGTATTCATACACTATTTGGTTTAATACACAGCATCCTTTGCTGAATCCAACGATAATGATAGGAAACTCTGATGTTATATCCTCTTCATCTTCTTGGATATCAAGAACTGTAAAAAGATAGAAAAARTCATTCGTAAAGCAATCGATAATTATTCACTTTCATATAATTTGCATTGTTGATTACTGTGATCTGATTGGCTAAATCAGATTGATCACCAACAACAAGGTCACCAACAACATGATCACCAACRGAAGATCCAAAACGGCATGACTGCTAACAACAAGATAACCGACAACATGATCTCCAACAACATCACCAAGAACATAATCACCAGCAACATGATCTCCAACATCACCAACAACATAATCACCAACAACAACATAACCAATATCATGATTAACAACAGGATCACCGACATGATCACCAACAACATCACCAACAACATGATCACCAACAACAATACCAACATGATCACCAACAACAACACCAACATGATCACCAACATCACCAACAACATGATCACCAACATGATCACCAACAACAACACCAACATGATCACCAACAACAACACCAACATGATCACCAACAACACCAACATGATCACCAACAACATAATCACCAACAACATAACCAATATCATGATTACCAACAAGATCACCGACATGATCACCAACAAGATCACCAACAACATAACCAACATGATCACAAACAACATCACCAACAACATGATCACCAATAACATGATCWCCAATAACATGATCACCAACATGATCACCAACAACATCACCAACAACATAATCTCCATAAACATCACCAATAACATGATCACCAACAACATCACCAACATGAATACCAACAACATGATCACCAACAACATAATCACCAACAACATGATCACCAACATGATTACCAACAACAACATCACCAATAACATGATCACTAACAAGATCACAGACATGATCATCACCAACAACATGATCCCTAGGTATTACCTTGCCGTACTCCACTATCTATGAGTGCCTTTAGGTGAGGTATGGCACCATATTCTGTATTTCTGTGGTCAGGTACACCAAACATATTGGTTTCTGCAAAGTTGCCATAGCAWGAGAAAGTTTTCTGGTGATACGAAGAAGGGCGGACAACCCAAACAAAGCTGTTAGGAAAACGCTTTTCCAATAGTTTAGCCGTTGTCTCTAAATCCCATTGTTTCCAATTCTTATCCATTTCCTCAGCAAAGTTCTGCAAATCGATTAAGTCGATAATTTAAACACATTTTACTTTCTGTTGGTTTACAAGCTTGACAAAAAGATGAAATTGATATAATAAAAGCATTTTCTTCTTTGGTACTCAATTTGTTTTCATAATCATTGTTCTTTGTTCACTAAACTGAGAAGACAATTTACGGACATAAATTAAGTGGAATATATGAATTGTATCTATACGTAAACTCGCAATGTAAACGACTTTTTATCTTTGACAAATGGTCCCTGAATATTGTTTGTTATTCATGTTCCGCTGCTTAAACAAACATCAAAGCTACCATGACAATAACTCAAACAAATATAAAACAAACAACTTGGTTTCAGTGATGCTGTTCGACTAATCAGAKTCTTACAACAATTAGCTATACACACAACATACAATAAAGACCGCAGTTATTGATGACCATAAACTAGACAACATCAAACAATGATGCTTCAGGGGGGTCTTGTACTACTAGCAGGGAAAAAAACACAAATGGACTTTGGTTTATTACACTGGATTTTAGGCGTCAAAAATGGTTTCCCGTTTCCCGTGACGCAGAACAGACAGAAATCAAAAATCAGAAATCAGACAGAACTAAAGACCAGTGCAATAGTTGAATAAGCAAATGTTTGATCGAATTGAGATAAATCTTTAAATTGCTCTATTAGATTCAAGGGTTCTCTCGGTGATATTTGATATGACCGTAGTGTACATCATGGTACAAAAGTTAAATCACAGTAAAGYTAGTCGTGATCTCAAAGCTAACGGTTGTAAATATTAATGCAATATGTATTCTACTACGTACTTGGACGTCGCCAGGGAAAAACACTACATGTTGTTGACCCTCAGAACCACAGAAGACCAGATCATTACATCGGCCATCGTAACCCAACACTTTATGAAGAATCACTGTCGATTTATCCATAAACACAACGAAAAAAGACCAATTAATATCATCGATGCCTTAACAATGTAATCTAAAGGACGCAACACATGATCATCCTTGACATGCCTTTTCGAGTCGAGGGATTTGCATCAGTAAACGTAGTCATTCTTCGCTATTCAAGATGAGGTTCTTAAGGCTCTTTGTTTGGCATCATTAGAAAAAAACCATTGGCTCCCGTCTTTTGTTCGTGAAAAATGAAAATCTCTTCTTAGAAATTAAACGTAATAGACTGATAATTGAATTGATTAGAATGTGCTTGATTGGACACACTAAGCTTGTCTATTGTCAATAACACCCAGTCTGGCTTAGAGCAACGTGTATACCAATCAATCTACTAGATGGCTGTAACATTTGACTTTTAGCGACCCTTTAGTGAAACCTCTAGACAGAACGTTTGATGTTTTTTCATATTGGAATTTGCGTTTTAWMATGGGGCAGTCCATTACTTCATTATCATGCTAGGAAAAATTAGAAAGTTATTCAAATATTGGCTAATCCTTCAAAAAGGCTGTGTAAACATACAATTCTCACGTTAACCAAGAATGTTTACGAGCTGAATATATCGATCTTGTTGATTGGCATTCAAAGTGTTTTGGAGAGTTATTGGAACTGTTATAAAACTGATAAAAGGTGAACGGAAACAAGACGAGCAATTAATTAACACAATGAGTACCCTATAAGCGCAATGCATTTCTTTTAATAAATCAAAATGACGAATTACTTCGTTTCCAYTGGAGTATCTTCTCGTCTTGTAATAACTGTCCATTAGGTGTAGTTGTGTCTGCTGGTAAAGTGGCTAAATACACTGGGGTCGTTGCTCCTAAAAAACGATATCAGGRAGCAACTTTAGAATATCCCGTCAATTTATTGGCTCAGTTCCACTCTATATGAACGTGACTGTAACGCATACCTGTTTGTTTTKTTGTTGTTKTTTTTTTTACCTGTTTGTGGTGTCCTGGGAGCACGTGGTCCACCCATGTCCGTTTGACACCAACCTGGACACGCCTATACATAGACATTTTCATATATCATAATGTCGACTATTTCGTTTATTACACCTGGCACTAACTAAATGTCGTGTTAAATTAAGTTTTCTTTTTCATAACCGCGCGTGGGCACAGCGATAACATTCCCATATGGTAATTGACAGCGTTGTGCCCGGACTTTGCTAGAGTCGATAATGTCCCATTGCAGACATTACATTGTGCAATGCGACAACTGTTTGAGAGTGATAATAGCTATTAAGATTTGCCGAATTAATGACAATCKAAGAGACAACAGAAAGTTGCTTTTCTTTTTCAATTTCCTTTCATGAAAGTCAGGGATGATCCCTATAGTACCCTGTGCTTTTTCACTTTCGCATTCACTACTTTCAATGAAACACAGAGAACACTCCAGAAGAGTTATAACTTTACCATAAATCCATGAGTACTCACAGCATTTACAAGAATGTTTTTCCTTGGATCTTTCTTCATTTCTTTTGAAAGTATTGAAGTAAGAACTGTTAAACCAAGTTTAGACATCGAATACGCTAACAAAATCAAAAGGTAATGTATTATTAATAATTCTTAACACATACAAATAAATACCAATAAGAATAAATGTRCTAGAAACCTGGATTGTAAGTTGACGTTTCTGTGGGCCATCCATTTTCCTTAGCTGTTCCATTTTTAACATCTCTGATCACATAAACAAGAACAAGACAGTCCAGAATATTGTTCATCGCAGACAACTCTGAATATTTGCATTAAAAACTAATCAGGGAGTGTGTTCTTCTTTTAACTGGGGATTCTTGACTGATATAGTCGATATAATATTCTCTATTTCAAATATTTTATTTGGCAGTAAGTATGCAAAATCATATGAGAATTGAAAACCCTACAAGAGCTGATTGACGGTATATCTTGGTTATTCTGGTGAGTAATACACAGGTGGATTTATGTCCTGTAAATATCAAAGTGCCTCCTCCTCCACAGGCATCTCACTTTTCCCATTTATATATACTTTGGGTTCCCTGTGAAAAAATAGGAAAGAGAGGAGACTGGGGGTGTTAGTTTCCCCGCTTCATTTCTAGTCCTGCTCTCATACTGATGTAATACAGGGAGCCCATTATCTTTAGAAATGAAAGAGACCCCTGCTGAGGAGGCTAGCATTCAATATCACTGACCAAGGGCACCTTCTGTACATCCACTGTTTTTTATCTACACCATTAGTAAGTGCAAATTACCTGAGATAGCTCATCATTAATTCAATCAGATCTTCCCTGGTAAGGTTTGGAGAGGCAAACTTTCTCTGSAACSATGTGYTCAGCATTTTTAGTGATCCCATTGYTGATGAGACATTGACAACTCTGAAAATAAACTTCTTTAGTATTACTAGAAATCTTTTCTAAAGAAAACAATATTAACAGATGATTCAGGCAAGAATACTATGCTTACACTGACTTTATTTCATTTAGTCCATTTCTAGTCATTTGTATCTAGTATGTTTAATATCCTAGATTTACCTTATAAGTTCTTAATATACACATCACTCAATGTCGGCAATGCCAGTACACACACTTACAAACAGTTTCTAACCTTGAATTATCTCTCAAAAGAGGAAAGAAAGCATCACAGACTGCAAGTGTATCAAAGAAATTTGTCTTCATACACAGTTCTGATTTATCTGCATAAGACTTTCCTGAAGAAGACTATAAAATATTATTTCAAATATGAGATAGTGTTGCCTTAATGACAAGTATATAATTATACTTGAGATTTATAATAAAAACTTTGATATTTCAAATATGATAAAACAAGTTTGCCCGAGAGAACACTGTATGAATTCATTCAAGTAACTTGTTGAGAAACTTATATTGCACTTTTGAACAGTGTAAAGACATTAGCATCTTGTCGGKATGTGTTTGTGTTTTTTAGTATGCGTGCGAAACATACTAAAACAATTATGCATCAAATTGTTAGTTATTGTTTCACAGATWTATGGTGCACACTCATGTTGAATATTTCATTTACTGAATGGTTCCCTGTTTCCCATCTCTTAATATTTTGACTMTTCAATGGTTTGGCAGTGTACTTACTGGAATTAGTAAACCTGCATTGTTGATAAGGATATCAAGACCTCCATATTTCTCTGAYAAATGTTGCTTTAACTGATCTATGCTTTTCATGCAAGATATGTCAAGCTGATAACTTTGCACATTTCCATGTTTTGCTAGTTTGGCACAGGCTGTTAGCCCTTGCTCCTGATCTCTTGCTGAAATAGATGAATATAAACAATGTAGAGAATTAGAGACTATATCACAGCTATTTCAGACAAATTTGAAAATTGAATACTCACACTGCATCGTTTTCTGGTTATTTACTAAGTACGATCGAGTTTTGATGTAAGCTAAGTCATAGTTTAAAAATATGACTTAAGTAAGTGTGATTATAAGCTTATTAACTTACATTGTAAAGTTTACCTGTTAAAAGAACTGTTCCGTCAAATTTTTGCGCAAGMTGTTCAGCAATGTAGAATCCTATGCCACGATTGGCTCCGGTAACCTAAATTTGAAATCATTCATTAATTTGATAATAAATACTTTTGTTATATTTACATTTTACTAACTACTGCAATTCTGTTCATTGCTGCGATCATTTCAGTCCATCCGCCATCATGTTTGTTATGGTCGTAAATAGACTCTTCCGCAGTCCCCTGCTCGGCTTTTGGTCTTCTCGCGCAAGAAGACCAAAAGCCGAGCAGGGGACTGCGGAAGAGTCTAGGTCGTAAAAGGCAGGATGGGAAGACTCAGGGAGCCCAGGCAACTAACTTCACACATTCATCAATTTTGCTGCTTTGTCACATTTTTCCAATGTTATAATGCACTCCATCTAGATCTCAAAATAATCTCAGTCATTTCGCACARATCAATACATTCATAGTATTGACAAAAATAGTTTCGAATCGATCACGTGGTAAGTAGCCTTTCAACCTCCCGTTGCACTCTGGTTATTTAGTTCAAAAATTGAGTTATGTACAAAATGTAGGATCGATTTATTGTCTATTTTGTACAAAATCTCGTTGAGTAACAATGGCACCCCCTAAAAGTCGCAAGATAGCTATAATGGGATTTCGTTCAGTGGGTATGTAAGATCGACAAACATAACAACTTTGAAGTCTTAGAAAATGGAAGAGCTTTTACTTGGCCTTACTTTATCGATTTGTATCTTATGTGACGAGGTTAAGCAATCTTTAATTATATAATTTATTACAGGCAAATCTTCACTAACCATACAGTATGTAGAAGGTCAGTTTGTAGACTCATACGATCCTACCATCGAAAACAGTAAGTTGACTTTGAACAGAGTGTAATTTGCATTGAACTTGCTGTGCTGTTTGGACTGAACTTCAAAACAGATTAAGTTYATTTCAAGCACTTACTGTTTTCAGCATTTACAAAGAATATTAAATACAAAGGACAAGAATTTAACTTAGAATTAGTTGACACTGCTGGACAGGTAATCTAATCTATATTGATAATATATAGCTGATYAGCAAAATTCATTGCTTTGGCAAAACTCCCATTTGACTGTCTTTGAATAATCTCTACCAGAATTTACCAAATGGTTGCTGTATAATGTTAGGTTGATGTAGCAGGCTAAAGTGATCAGTAGCATCCATGCATCCACCATGACTTTGTAGTTGTACCTGTGAACATATAGAACATCCTCTTATTTCCCTMATGTAAGCTTCCAGCTCTCATAAACGCCAACCTCTACCTGCCCTCTCTGATTAGCCCTCCTTAGTTTAACCTTTTTGGTTGCTTACAAAAACTTCAATGACATCTGATGTTCTAAAATCCATAAGAAGCATTTTAGGATTATGAAGTGCATAAAATCAATGAGATGATCAATCAATCATTCTTAATACTKACTTGATATCATTATAACTTTTTGTGTCCATGCAGGATGAATATTCGATTTTTCCTCAGTCCTATTCTATGGGAATCCATGGCTATGTTCTAGTTTATACAGTCACTTCTGCTAAAAGGTAACTTAAGACCTAATAGTTTTATTTCGAAGTTATTTTCTTATAGTTTRGTCATTAAAATATGCTATTGTTTTGTAGCTTTGAGGTTGTAAAAGTTATTCATGAAAAGCTTCTTGATATGACTGGACAAAACTAGTATGTATTACATATTTATTTCAAAGYATTCCAATTAATGTAATTAAATAATATTCTATTCTTTCATTTAGTAATTTTTGTATGTTTATGTACTTTCACATAAGCCATGTTCGAAATTGTGCTATCTCTTTTAGTGTCCCAGTTGTGCTGGTAGGGAACAAGACTGATTTACACATGGAAAGGTAGGTTTAACATGTATAGCACTGGTTCAAATCTTAATGTGYGTCCTTCAAAGATTTCTTTTCAGTATAAGTTTAGGTTCTTGAAAATTTTCTAAGTTCTCCTCCACATAATAGACTTMTGAACCTTTTACGTCACTACTTGATTTTCAATGCATTGTGGGATCAGTTTCAAGAGAAAACAAAAGAAATCTGTTCTGTCCCAAACATATCCTACAATGCATTGCGTATACGGTACATGACGTAAAAGCTGCAGAGGTCTATTGGGACAGTGAGAGCCTTCTAGCTGTGTGTACATCAGGCCTGTGTACATGCACAACCATATATGGAAGTCATCTGACTAAATTGTTTTTTTTTTAATAAATGAAATAGAAAGAGCTGTATTCCCAAAAGATGTTAATCCTACCTTTCATGGAATACAATGTTTATTTCTCACAGGGTTGTCAGTACAGAATCTGGTAAAGTTGTTGCTGATTCCTGGAAAGCTGCTTTTTTTGAAGCCTCTGCAAAAGAGAATAGTGTAAGTTCAAWGTTAATGTGCAAATTATGCTGCTTGCATATTTTTGATTGGRCTGGAATCGATTTTATTCTTTGGTTAGGTTTCTTTGAATTGAACTAACATATTGTCTTGYTTCCTTGTGTTACTTAGTGTGTTCAAGAAATCTTCCAGAGTATGTTGTTCGAAATAGAAAAGCACCAAAATGGAACAGTGGAGAAAAAAGAAGATTGCACAATTTTATGACCCATCAATTTGAGCACTTRAATATGCATACATAAACATGACATCACCTTATTAATGCATACACCCAATTTTTGCAAAAATGTTGTCCCATGCCAGAAAAATAATGTTAGCTAAAGAACATACCTTCAAATACAAAACAAAAAGATTGACTGGGCATCTTTTTAATGAWTTCAGGACTATGTTCCTCATTCTCAGGATCTCAGGATAACATTTTTGCTTTATTAGGTTTATCCAATAAACACTTATTTTATTATTTTGATAATGCAGGGCAATATTTTATTTTTATTATGTATGTRATCTGTGATATGCAAATTGTAAAGGTAAATAAGAGAAGGAAGAATTGGTATTGTTGCTAAAATCTAAAGATGCATAATCAACTTTAATAAAATTTATAACTTCATGTTTGTATGCCGTTTGTAGTATTTGGGTTACCTGTGTCTAATTGTTCTTCGTGTCACGTGTTGCAATACGYGATCCCATAATGCTTCATGCTCTCCATCAATGTGGCCTCTTACTTTCTGGCCATCTTTGAACCAGATTATTTTCGGTTTTTCCGAAAATAACGACCCATATACACAATCATGGTGAGAATTTATACAATTTAACTATTCGGTACAGTAAAAATATAAGTATATTCCCTCTTGATACATAGAAATTTGTGAAATAAATTGTATTTGTGGCGTTTACATCCAATTTTCTTGCGTTGGTTGGAATCCCGTCTATATCTCAATTTACACGTGGTCTCGTTTTTAGGGGTTCGTTAAGGTGATCAAAAATAAAGCTTACTTTAAAAGGTTTCAAGTGAAGTTTAAGAGACGTCGTGGTTAGTATTKTACYCCTCTTTGGCTSTTTATTCAGCCGGGTTTGAGTGTAAAGTTGTGTAGGTGGGTTTCAAATAARCGTGGTGTTCTTGTGCATTTCAGAGGGTAAAACCGACTATTATGCCCGCAAAAGACTGATTACACAGGACAAAAACAAGTACAACACTCCCAAATACCGTCTTGTTGTGCGATTCACCAACAAAGATGTCATCTGTCAGGTATTTTTCCCCTGGAATACTTTCAACTGCACCTCCTCCAATTGGAAAGACCTGTAGTTTCGATGCAAATACTTATTTGTCTAGTCAAATCATAAAAYATTGTAGTTCCAAGAAATTGTCATTATTATGATGGTTAATGATATAAATATATATCAGTGCTTTTTAACCTGTTTCTCTTCAATAAGCWTTTGTCTCCTACTGCATCTCCTGTATTTGAGCTACAAGTGCAATTTCAGTTTGTGCTTGAAATTCTGCCTTTTTTGTGTTGTGATCAATATGTGTTGTTATCTCATTAATGTAGATTGTAAGCCTTATACCAATGTTTTATTCAGTCAGAGTACACCATATATTATAATCTACCAGATATGATAGTATTTGGGACAAAAAAAATCTTTGTATCCACGAATTAGTTAATCCACATACATGAAAATATTGGTAGATGTGGATGCAAAATTTATTTGCATCTTCATAAAAAATTGGAGATATAGAAATATATGTGATCTGTGATTTATGATTGTATGGACTTGGTCTTAGTTAATCTAATCATGTCAAACAGGTTGCGTATGCAAGAATTGAAGGTGACATGATAATTGCAGCTGCATAYTCCCATGAACTGCCACGTTATGGAGTAAAGGTTGGACTTTCAAACTATGCAGCAGCTTATTGCACAGGATTGCTGTTAGCACGACGTGTAAGTGCATTACATATGCTGGTTTCACATTTGATTGGTCACTCATGAAAGTTAACTCACAGGATGAATTTATAATGTGTATTTCAGCTTCTTACTAAGCTTAACCTTCATGAGATCTACACTGGTAACGACGAGGTCAATGGTGATGAATACAATGTCGAGAGTGTTGATGGCTCCCCTGGTGTTTTCCGTTGTTTCCTTGATGTTGGCCTTGCTCGTACTACCACTGGTGCAAGGGTATTTGGTGCCCTGAAAGGTGCTGTTGATGGTGGATTGGATATCCCTCACAGGTAAAGAATATTTACTTTTAAAAGTTTTGCATTGAACACCTAAAAACACTCACTAGTTAATGTATTTTAAGTCTAAAGCATGATTTAAATATTTKTTGCATAGTATGAAGCGTTTTCCTGGCTATGACTCGGAGTCCAAGGAATTCAATGCTGAAGTCCACCGCAAGCATATATTTGGACAGCATGTTGCAGACTATATGCGTCAGCTRTTGGAAGATGATGAAGACGCATACAAACGTCAATTCTCTCATTACATCAAGAATGGCATTGAAGCAGATGCTGTAAGTACAGAATGTGCTTTCAACTGTTGTCCCTGAAATAATTACATATAACAATTTGTCCATTTGAAAAGTCCATTTGCTGCTGTAATAGCATTGAGCATATGGAGTTCTTGGTAAAGAAAGGCAGATGGCTGTTCAGCAAAAGTAGACAGAGGTTCTTCAGCTGAATTAACAAGAAAACTGCAAATAATTTTGTCAGATAACCACTGATTAACTAAGCAATAAWAGGCAATTTTCGCTGGCTTCTGGCTACTATCGAGAATACTGAACTTATAAAATAATTAGTACCTGTATATTTTCTACTTGTATTTTACTGTTTTTGATAGATTGAAGAAATGTACAAGAAAGCACATGCTGCGATTAGAGCTGACCCTGTTGCCAAGGCAACTGCCAAGAAGGATGTCACACACAAAAGGTAAGAACTGATGCTCAAATGTTTGACCAGTAAAAACTTATACTGGTACTATTCAAGAACATTTTGTACACTCTATGTCCAATTCCTTTCAGATACAATTCCACTTTAATTAAGAAATATAAAACGGCGCGCGTGTCTCTGTCCTCTGATATAAACGCGGTGGGAGTTTGAAAAACACGAGAGAAGCAAGCTTAGGAACACGAGCTTAGCGAGTGTTTCTCTTGCTTCTCGAGTGTTTTTGAACTCCCACCGTGTTTATATCAGAGGACAGAGACACAAGCGGCCGTTTTATATTTCTTTTATAAAATTTTTCGAGCGAAAAGGAAATTTTGCCGGTAAGCCGTGTCTCTGTCCTCTGATATAAACAAGGTCGTCAGCCAATCAGAGCGCACGTTATATATCAAAAATTTTATAAATTGAGATCAATAACAGTTACACTGTATTTGACTGTTCATTATTTAAATATCTAAGATGTCCTCAAAAGATGACTCAAAAGTCAATTTTCACAACTCAAGCAACATTAGTTGGGAATTGATGCACCTTTTCTACACTTTACTTATATAATTAATTAAATGCTATAAGAGCATGTAAATGTAGGTAGAGATAGCTTAGGGCTTTCACTTTGCAACAGAATAACCCTCAAAAAGAATACTAATTTCACAATGTACTAAAGGTGGTTGTCATTTTATCTGCAGGTATAATAGAAAGAAACTCTCAAGGCAGCAACGCAAAGATCGTGTGGCCCAAAGGCAGAAGGCATTTCTTCGCAAGAAGGAGGGGGATTAATGATAACACCCTTGTACTGGTGTCAAATATCAATAAATTTTGAAACTTAACATAAGTGTCATTTCATCTAATTTTGTWGTTATTGTGAGAATGGATAAAGAGGTAGTTACCATAAGAGCTGTGTCACAGGCGACCCAAGCAAGCGTTAAAAAAATCAAGCCTTTGAATAGCTCTAGACAAGCTAAACCAAAGCTCATRATTGCCATTATGCAAAAACATTCTTAAACTTTTCTATATGAGTCAGTATAATAATATTGGGAGTTTCAATGTTTCTTCAAGTTTGGGATAAGAGAATTTCAACAATTGAAAAGTAAATGAAATGAAATCAACCTGCATGAATAAGCACAGTATGAATGCAGTTGCAGTACAATGAACGAGAAAGTCATTTAAAGTGTACCGTTTTGGTGATAGGTTTAATATGTTTATTGCATTCCTATCCCAGGAAGTGTGCAACACTGATATAACGAATTAGGCAGGGATAGAACTCTGAACACTAAAAAAATAACAGATACTTTACAAAATCAGTTCTCGCAAAATTATGAGGTTTGTCTAAATTTTGTGTATTGCTTGGATTCCCTGTGGTCGTCGGTTACTCGTTACTAGGGCCCTGAAAAAAGCGTGCAAAGAAGAAGCCCTGGGAACAAGATTGAGGGATTGGCGGGAGTCATCAAATATGGCGCAGCATTATGTGGCGCACGATACACGGTAGGTTGTGAACTTCACCGATTAAACC